GTTCAGGTTGGGAGTTTTGAGCGACTTTTGGGCGAATTGGTTTCGACTCTTGACAGAGCTTCTGTTTTAAGACTGACTTGGACATCTTCCTCAATCAAGGGATTTTTGGGTTTTGCCCAACCCTGCTTCTCAGCTTTTTTCGAAGCCTGTCCAGCCCTGAGCCTTACGAAAACGCCTAAATGGGGGTTTCCCCAAATTAGGGGTACCTTTTTGGGGGTCCCCATAATAAGGACTATAGTATATTAGGGTCTATATTGGGGTACCCTAATTTTGGGAAACTACCAAATGTTCACCAAGGGTTTTGGGGGTCCAAGAAAAACCTGTTGCAATTGCAAAAGAATCGCCAACACTACCTGAAATGTGGGAAATCCAAATTTGGAGTTTAAGGTTCCCAAATTCGCCAAGAATGACCTAAATTTGCCAGTCTCGCGGATGGCCAAGATTGAATCCTGAAAAGGCTTTGGGCCCAAAATTGGGAGTATGGGCGGGTCCAAATTTGCCAAAAATAATCACACATGCAATTTTCAGGTGACCATCGTTCGCCAAGATTGCCCCAAAGTGGGGAGAAATCCACAGAGAGGCCCTTAGGCTTTGGGGCCCAAATCTTGGGGTTTGGGGATCCCCAAATTGCCACAAATGACCAAAATTTCCTTTTTTTGAAATTGTTACCAAAAAATTGCCAAAATGACCCCACACTGTCAAATGGAAACTCCTAAAGAGGCTAGATTGTTGGGTCACGATTGGTCCTTTGGGCGACGAAAAATCGCTGCCAAAATTGTCCAACATTAGGGAAATCTCTAGGGAGGCTCTTTGGCTTCGAGGCTCAAATTTCGGGGGCTATCGGTGCAAGACAGACCTACACAAATTCTCTGCCCTCTTGTTCTTTTGATTTCAGTGAATCGTCCGAAGCTCAATTTGCGTTAACTCTTCTTGCGCTTGCATATCTGAAAAAATAATTAAGCGCGAACATACAATTTCTATCTGTCACAAGCTTGAGGCTTTAGGGTCTACAGGAATGCCTAGGGAGCAACTAGTATATAGGGCAAAAAGGGATCACATAAGGGTTTAAGGTTTAGGGCTATTGCCCCGATAATGGAGAATCAAATGGAAGAGAGAATTAAAATGAAAAGGAAACTGACTTTGTACATGGGTTTATTGAGGTTGGGGGGTTTGAATTTAGGGGTCCATTTACAGATACTGTTGGATTATCGTTCTAGAGATACCTATGTATGCGGTTGTACAGGATGTACCTCGGGTTTAGGGTTTCCGAAATTTAGAAGGGGTCTTTCTTGCGGGCTTCTTATAATGAGGTATATAATACATTCGGGTCTATATTGGGGCCCTATGTTCGGGAACCACATAATGAATAACAATACTAGTAACATTAATGATAATAGTGACACTAATATGGATTCTCTGAAACCCTCTGGTCCTGGCCTCCTCAACAGCTGCCAGAGGCCGAGGTGAAGGAGATGGTGCCGACATCTTTGGTGGCGCCACCGGGGACTTTGCCTGCGCAGAAAATTTTTCAAGCGATAATAGGGGTTAGATAGGGATAATGGAAAAGGAAATGGAAACTACCATAGTATAGGGTTTAGGGTTTAGGGTTATATAGGGATAATGGAAAAGAAAATGGAAACTACTATGTTATAATGGGATAATGGGGGAGTTTAGACTATAGCTCATATAACCCCAATATTGTAGTAGTTTCCATTTTAGTTTCCAGTATCCCAATATAACTCCAATATAACCCAAACATAGGAAGGGATAATGGGGATCATAAGTAATTCAAGAATGTTGGGGCAGGGGTGCTACGTTCATGGGAGGGAGGGGTTTAGCAGCTGCCTTGCACCACCTCAATCCACAGCTGGCACTGCATGCCTATCTTGGGATTGATTGAGGATTGCTCCAACTTCCTACAGTAGAACTTCTGGAATGAAAGAGTGGCTTCTGAGTTGAAGCTGCCGGCATGGAAAACAAGCATGTCCGACGCAGGCCTTCGAACCTCGCACCGCTGGCATTACAGGCTTGGGGCCGTCAAAGGTTCCAGTTTGTTGTATGGATTCTGGCTGGTGCGGATCATCATGGTCGTCAGGGCGCATACTCTCATGTAGCAACAGCGACCAAATCCTGAGCACTGGCATGCTACCTATGTAATCCGGAGGCTCGCAAGAAGGTCTCAGACACAAAGTTCAGAAGCTGCTTGGACCACTTGTGACGCCAAGGCTCTGCAGCGTACATAAGCAAGCAAGTCGCAGGAAAAATGTGCGCCACGGCGGCGACCGACGTTTGGAGCTTGTAAGCGCTGAAATCCATAGCCAGATTTCAATCAAGGTTGCACCCACGGACAGGAGGAGTGTGAGCCTGCATTAATAGCAAGAGCGGTGTTCTAGATCTTAGGTTGGATTATTGGATTACATGGTTGGTGCTTGCTTTTGGGAACAAGATTTAGCGACAGGGCTTTCTTGCTGGCCTACTCAGCAGCTCACATTAAGAAGTTACTATCGCACCCAAGTCCGAGGTACAAATCCACAGAGACCCCAGCAGCCAACGCACCCCCAGGCACCAGCCACCTCAGCACAGACAGGGCAACTCACCAAAACAACTCAAGCAGCGCCACGTCTCTGAGGCATGGGCACGATTACGATTCGAAATACCAACTCAAGCATCGGTCCAACTCAAGGGCCATGGGCTGCAGCTGGACTACGCATAGCCGTGTGGGAGACACGCTTGTTTGCGAACAAAATGAACATCACGTTGAAGAGAGACTTTGAAGGCAGTTGAGGCTGCCGCTCTTCCCGGGGCACAGCTGCACTGAATCTCTAGCTGACCTACGCATGTCCTTCTGGTTTGACGATGCTTTTGCTGCCTGACTCTTGGGAATCTAAGGTTTGATCCCTAGGCGCAGCGAAAATCAACTTCTCAAAGCCTAACCGTGATGAAAGGCAAAGCAAGCCAAGATTGGTCCAACCTCGCCGGCTGGGTGCGGAGACCTCAATAATTGGGGAAAAAAGGTTACCCCGCTGCTAAACAATTGGGGCAAATACTTTGCCCCTGCCAGCATTGGAGAAATTGCGCTTCCCCAATTGCTTGGCCTTTTTCTGCGAACATCGGTTTCAAGGAACCGCTCTGAGGCGCCGGCGGCGAGCGCGGGTCTGCAGCTAAACCTGAATCTGATACCAAGGTGTATATGGGTGGTTCCCAACAGTGGGGTCCCATTTTGGTACTCATAAATATTAGGTGCCGTACTACAATGTATAAACAAAAGGGGCCCGTAATTTTTGAGAATAACACATATGGAATACCATTGATACCCTTGAAGTCTGCAACATGGCCAATCGGGGCCTGCAGCTCTGGTGCCTGCAATATGAAGAACGTTAAACTATGGGGCAAGAGCAAGGAACCGCAACATCACAAAATGCACACCTTCCAACAGCTGCTTCTATAATCTTATATCATGATATTACACGATAATATGCTTTAGAGGAAGGTCCTTATGCTGACAAAGGTGTGCTTAGGGCAGCGACGCGGTTGAGACGCGGAAGCGGCCAAGCGCCTAAGTTCAATGTTATTCCTCAACCCCAAACCCTAATAACAGTAATGTATATATATATATACAATACTAATATCATGCAATGTTCACTACTTAAGCGCTCAGCCCCGCAGACAGAACCAGCAACTCACTTCCGGCAGCAACTGCTGCGACTGTGAAGCATGTTTTGCTTGAAGTGCATGCCGGCCTGGTCGCCTCAAGTGACCTACCTCGCCGCGCCGGACGTCTCCACAAGGGTGACTGCAGAGGCACAGCACGCCTGTCAGGATTCTCACGTTTCAAGCCCCGAAGTACACCAAGTTCCATTAACGCGTCGACATGCTGCCTGGTGGGAGTCCGTACCTGCCATGCAGCCCAGGACGCGGGAATCCGGCCTGGCAGCCCAGACGAACTCTGCAGTCGACAGCAACGCATTCACGGGTCCAGCTCATCCTTGAAAATTTCTGAGAACCTAGCTGTCGTCTTGACCCGCCGGACCTTCCAGCAACTGAGCCCGAACCCGTTCATGACACTCCGCCTGTCCGAGTTCCCGACTTGCGCCGTTTGGCGTTTGCCTCTCAGCACCGAAGGCCTTCGAAAGAAGAGCAGAGTGCCCTTGATGTACTGCCCTCAGGCTGCAAGGAAAGGCCGGACATCGGAGGATGCACGCCTCGCCCCAGTAACCACGCGTAGGACTGACAGGCATCGCAATATGGGCATGCTCTCCAGGTAACGGCTTAGCAAGTCGACTCAACCCAGCCTGAACATTGGCGCAGCAACCAGGCTTTGAATTTCAGCCTTCAAACCACGTCAAAGAACAACACAATGTTGAGTGCAGACCTTTGCTGCTCGCCCACCTGAAGCTCCGCGTCATCGCGACGTACGGCTATACCCTTTGACTCCTGGCTTTCCCGCTGGCAAGACCAAACAAGACCGCATGTGCGCATACCGCACGAGGTCTGTTCTCAAGACACCGGATGGGAACCCCTTCAAAGAGCAACAGCACAGCTTGATAGCGTACTGGCTGAAATTAACAGGGCGCGCGTGCTGCGCGGCGCCGCCAGAGATCGCAGTCGCCCTGCTTCCGTATGAGAGCCTGTCTCGGTGGGTTGTAGCCAGAACATGGTGCGGCGTTTGGCTTCTCTTACATCCCTTACCTGCAAGACTCATTTTCACTGTCGCATACATCCAACTTCAACAGTGCGCTGCACGTCCATGTACAACTTCATCGTGGCCTCTCTCCACTCTGCAGCCGTCTGCTGCAACAGGGCGTAGCGGTGGCGCACCTGGAGCAGGCGGCACAAGAAGTATTTGGTCATTTGGGTTCCCCCAATGATTCTTGCCTCGTGTGGAAACCAATTGCAATACTGTACCAAGTAGGGAGGCGGAGACTGCTTCAGCCCTGTTTCAAGAGTCCTTCCGAACTATCATCTAGCTCACTAACCCCCGATAGTGGACAAGCAGCGTATGTTGGAAAATGTCTGTGTACTTCTGAGTACTGTATATGTATCGTACATACATATGTACAAGTATGTGCATTATAGGTACAGCAACTGGGAACCCTGGCGAATCTCACTGCAGCTCCGAGATCCCTGCAGCCTGCAGCTCAGCCTGCCGTGCAGGCGCCCCAGCCTGCAACCAAGACAAAAAAGCTCCCGGCAGGTGGTCACGGTAGTGCTCGTGGTGACGGGATTTGTAGCGATTGAGATACTTGTAGTGTGGCATCAGAGGTGGTGAGTATAGCGTTCTCAATAGCAGTAATCGCTGTCGCCGTCGAAGTTGGAGGAGGAATTATAATTGTGCTGTGGTTCTGCACCATCAGTATCATCACAGATCTCATCGTCATTCAAAGATGACAATGCTGACTACATTCACGGTAGTGATGACGATGAAGATCATCATCGTGCTCATGACGATGGGGATGATGATGAGGATGATGATGAGGATGGTGGTGGCCATCATACCATGAAGACGGCAAAAAGCGCAATGCTGCAATGCTGATGCGAACTGCGCACAGACAGCTCAAGTTCGTTTTCTGCACGAAGCTCTCGGAAAGGCTGATGTAAAATCCTGGGTCCTAGTGGTGTTATGTACATGTAGTGCTGGCTATGCACAAAGTTGACCTGGCAAGAGCTACACGCCCTTCACCTAGGCTTAATACTAAGACTGGACACTGTCAACTGGCCATCCTCAGTCGAGTCCAGGGCTCCTCCACGGCTCTCCTCAGTTCTCCTCAGCTCTCAACTCTCCGTCTCCTGATCGGAGGACGAGGTTTCCTGCCTGGCCAGGAGAGGAACGTTCTCTGGATTGCGGTAGACAATTTGCACTGGATATCCCAAGGCCCTTAGCATGGCAAGCATGCGGTGCCGTCTCACATTCGGATGGTCGTCGGAATCAGAGGAGTCTCCTGCATCAGCGTCAGCATCGTCTGGGGCTGGTCGCTTCGTCTCCGGAACCTCTTGGTAGTGCTCAGGACGAGTAGGGAACTCCTTGCCATCCAAGCGAAAGTAGAGCTCAGCCCGTGCGGCTGCACTTCCCTCGGGCTCGGTCCAAACACTGGCAACCTTCCTTCCCCAGGAAGTGGTTGACACAGCCTCGGCTTCAACTCCAAGTACCATGAGTTCTTGAACCACACACTGTGCTCGTCGGCGGGAAGTGCTGGTTGCAATCCCTCTTGGTGCCCCAACGCCAGCGTGTGCATCCACGTGCAGCCGCAGCCGAGGATGCTTTTGAACGAACAGAGCTGCCGCATGGACAAGCTGCTTGGTCTCTTCTAGCAAATTGACACCGCCTCCGTATTCGAAGTACAAGTGGTTCAGGCTGTCTGACGAGCAGACTTCCGAAACTTTGATGCCCACCTGCAGCTGCTCAAGGCTGGTACACCCAGCTGCCCAAGTCATGCCGTTCTCGCAGAAGTCCTGCGCTCGCCGTTCGGCAAAGCTGCGCGATAGGATGATGCGGTGCAAGGAGGCATCAGCCATCCCCAACCTGAGTCAGCCAAAAGCATGAAATGTTTGGAATCCAGTTACTAGTACTAGCAGAAAGCAAGATCACAGCAAGCTTGTTTGCTCCAAACAGCCGCGCGAGGAGTGCTGGGTCGCAGCACGCGGCCCCCAAAGTCTCCGTCACGTCTGGAAGATTGAAGCACGCGGACAGCTGGCTTTCCTGTTGGCCTGCGAATCACGAACAACCCCTGGGGTATCGTTGAACAGTACGCAGTCTCACCATCTGTCAGCGTCTCTAGCTGTCTAGCTACCACGGCAGGGCAGCACAGTGTGTGGAAAGAGCTTTTGACCTTTGATCTTGGGTGTTTGCACAGGGACCTGACTGGAACGAAAAACAATCCAACTTCACAGGTGCCAGTTGTTCAAGTTGTCTTTTGCATGGCCGATGACTTCCAGCTAGGTGCGCATTCGCCCAGCCCCACAACTAGAAACCCCAATGCAAGTGGAGGGGTGCAAACCCTGAGCCACCTCTGCGGAGGGAATCTGCGGGAGGGCTTGCTTCTCCGCGACAGGTCTTGGCATCTTGGCGATTCAATGCGGCATCTGCCGGCGGTTCACCAGTAGCGTCTTGCTTGGCATCAACTTCTGCAGCTTCTGGCTCACTTGTGCCGACCTTACCAGCCTGCATGGACACATCTGGGTACACCTTGGGGCACTTCGTCTTGTCGGCATCCTTGGCATCCGGATTCAAGATTTCCTTCGGGGCAGCTGTCAGGGTCTTTGCCGCGTCTACCCCCATGTTCGAATCATGCTTGATCAGCTCTGTCGAGACGTCCGGATAGCCACAGGAGCCATTCGCCTGTGCAGGATCCGCTTTTGGGCCCAGGGCGTTTGTTCCCTCAGGGGTTTCTCCGACAGCCATGGCAAGGCACGACGTTCAGAGGCCTACTGTGCGTGTGTGGTCTGCCAGAGGACAACATGGACAACATCCTTCCTGCTTAGAAATGGGCCATCCACAAACACATCTTCACAACGCACTTGATCACGGAGCCGCTGCGGATGTTGAAAGATCTCCCGAAGCATGACACGGCAATTTGAGTCTTCTTGTCATCAGACCGTGCTATCTGCACCCCCATCGGCTGCCACAAAGACAATTCCGTGATGAGTGGCTCTTATCAATTTCATGTTGATGCCGTCGTCAGCTCCTGAACGTTAGTTGCAAGGTCTGTTCCCAGCCATTCCAACTGGGCCCTTCTTACCAAAAAAACACACTTGACAGGTGCAAGAATCATCCTTCACGTGCTCCTGATTGATAATCTGGGTTGCTGTTAGTAAACTTACATTAAGTCACCATAATATGGGTGTATAGTAAATAATAGTGTTTCCTTGTTATAGCAGCTTAAGTTCACTAACAGCAACCTAGGACTGTGACATAGATTCTTCCGTGATGGAAGAAGGGGCCGATTCTCTGACCCATCCTCACTTCACTCCACAGGGAAGAATATAATCCCAATATAACCCATTCTAGTAGCTTCCATTTTCTTTTCCAGTATCCCTATGAATCCCCTATATAACCCCTATCATCCCTATATGACCCATCACCACAATCTGACCCAACCTGACTTGGGCCCTGTCAGGCCAGCTCAAAGAGACAAGCTTCCTTCGATAACTTCAGGCGTATATAGTCCCCCTGAAGTAGATAGAATATGGGGTATATGGGGATCTGACTATAATATACCCCAAAGCCATATTCTATCTACTTAAGGTTGACTGTACTTTCATACATGTCTCACAACTAGGAACACCCAGCAAGAATCCCTTCAGACGGCAAGGATAACTTCGTTGCTCACAGACGTGATCCTCATGCAATCCCTGTATATTCTGGGGTCTGCAAAGGCATCGCAGCTTGACAAACCCTAAATACCCCTTCAAAGCACCCCGATCTTGCGAAACCCCCACACCACTCCAATTCTAAATCTGAAGCCTAAACTCTAGCCGCTAAAAACCCAAACCCAGAACTCCTAGACCCCAAAAGCCCGAAGCCCTAAACTATCCTAAATCCATAAAGCCCATGGCCTTAAACCATCCCAAAGCCCTAGAGTCCCCCTTAAGTAGATAGAATATGGGGTATATGGGGATCCTATTATTATATACCCAAAACCATATTCCATCTACCTAAGGGGGACTATAAACCCTAAATAGTAGTTTAACCCCTATGAAAAACCCCAAACTTTGAGCTGCTGGAGGAAAGGCGGAAGCCTCAGCGGCCTTCAGGGCCTCGAGGCGGACCGCCAGCTCCAGGGCCTTGCTAAATCCCTGTAGAACCCCTAGGGTTTAGGGTTTAAGGTTTAGGGCCCAATAATATATGACCCCAAAATACCATAGTTCCATTTTCTTGTTCATTATCCCCATATACCTCCAGTATACTATAATAGTACTTTCCATTTTCTTTTCCATTATCCCCATAGAAGCCCTGTATGAACTAAGGGGGTCAAGGATCCCAGCGTTTGATTTAGGATTCAGCTTGTTTATCGGACCCCTTTCGGCCCTTTGGTTTTCCGCGCTTTTACCTTTTGACTTCCACCGGTCTAGGGTTCAGGGTATAAGGTTTCGGGCTTCAAGTCTACGACTCAGAGACCTGGGGTTTGATGGTTCAATGGCTTAATAGGCTTGGTCTTTGTGAGCTTAAGGATTCATGGGTTTCTGGTGTTTAGGTTTTTCTGGGCCCAGCCTACAGGAATTGTCACCACAAGGTATCCGAGAGCTCGCCCCTTGACTTCAGGGTGATCCCAAGTGCCTTCTGAGCGGAAAGCAGGAGAAGAGCTGTGAGCAACAAAACTGCTGTATACTGTTAATATCGCCTTATGAGATATCGCATTTCGAGTCTAAGAAGAAGCAGCCCCGGATTTACACAAACAGAATTCCTTAGGAAACCTTGGTACTGCACTGGGAAGCCCTCTTGCATCGTGTATAAGCTCAAGAAATCCGTCCGTTCACTGCATACGAAGGCCACGTTATCCACATTCTCCCACACAGCAGCATTGCCCCTACCGCAGTGACTTGAGCTGGGTTTGGCACCTCTTGGCGTGTCTCGCTATGTTTCTTTGCCAAGCGAGCATTCTCTCGTTGCCTGAGGTGAACTGCCAAGGTCAATATACAGATGCAACTGACAATGCCAGGCCTGAGGCAGATTTCACGGACAGCATCCTGCATGCATAGCAAGCAGAGACAACTGCCACAGGTTGCCCAGTTGAGGTCCGCAGCCTGGTGCTCACGGACGTAGACATCAGCCTGTCACTCATACGGCTGTAGATGGTGCACTAAAGTTCTCTTGGCACACAAAGTCCTCAGCCCGCCTGCCAACGGGCTGAGTCCAAAGCGGAGCGGAGCTGGTCTAACTCCTGCCACCGAGCGAACAACCCTCCATTCCTTTGCTCCCAGACGCTCCCAAGTGCAGCTGCCTCCCCATTGGAACGCTTCAGCTCGTCAACCTGCATCAGCACAATCCAAGCCATTGTCATAGTCAAGATGAAATTCACTGCGAACTCATACCAGGTGATCTGCGCAGTTCGAGAACACTAACATCTCCCATGGAGATGGGTAGATAAGATGTATTAGTCTCTGAACTCCCGCATAGCAGGATGCTGCAAGCAATGAAAAGGAGGAAAGGCAGTGTAAAGCAGGACGCCTGCTCTCTTCTGGCGCGCTCAAGCTCAGCCACCTGCCAGGTTTTCCCTTCAGAGCTTTCTTTTGGGGGTCCTCATAACGAGGATTCTAGTATTTTGGGGTCCCTATTGGGGTCTCCCCGTTTCTGGAAAAATCCATTTCTCTTTGAAGATGCCATGCTCACAATTGCTGCAGCCAGATTTGACCTTCAGATTTTGGACATGCGCCGTGCTGCCCCCGAAAGCTCCGATTTCAACCACTGTACAATGGCCTGCAAGGCATGCTGGCAACGCAGTTCCTCCATTTCCTGTCAAGGATTCACACTTCATGGGCTCAAGGCTCAAGGATTGAAGGCTCACGTTTGTCGTACAGGTCTGAGAAGAGAGCAGGCAGCGCATCTTTCTGTCGCACCGAGCGCTCGGTGAACCCAGCAGTGCAAACGTGCTGCACATGTAGCTTGTTGGCTAGTCAAACTCGCTCAGCTGGGAAGCAAACCAGCTCCATTGCAGTTCACGGGCGCGTCGCTGCGCCTCGTCCCTGACGTCCTCCAAAGCAGCAAGGCGGTGACTCCGCAAGATTCTCTGAATTGGTGGCCCCTCAAAATCAAGCTACAAATTTCCTAGTGGTCATCACCCCAAGCGTCCCAGGAAAACACTACGCCGGCCTTGCCTTGCTCTCCAGCCGAACATGAGCCAGCCGCCGTAGAGTCAGGGAGGTTCGACGCTGTGCACGGGGGACTTCGTGACCATCCCTTCCCAGACTTCTAAAGAAATATCAAGCACAGTACCTACACATACCCACAACCTTAGGGGCATATAGACACCTGGATACCAGAAGAAAGCAAGACAGCCTTATGACCATCAACAGCACAGAACTTCCAGAGCCTCGTGGTGTCCACCTCCAACATGCTAGTCATGTATGACATTGCAGAGTGACAAAGCTTAGGAGACCTACATCTGCATCTGAGCATCTGCCTTGGCATGATCAATGCGATGGACGTAGAGGTGGTAAGCCTCACCCTTCATCACCAGCAAAGATCTTGGCTGCAGCAGAACCTCATACAGACACTGCTGGAAACCAGCAAAACTCAGTCGCTTTTACTGCAAGATCTGCAAGCCAAGGCCTCCAAGCGCGGAGGTAGATGCGGATATTCCTGGAAAGATCCATCCTTGTGGAATCTACAACTTCAAGACCCAAGACAACTTACTGGTTCTTAGTAAGGAAAATGGGGATATATTGCATAGGGATGATGTTCCCCTATTCCCTACTGAGAACCAGTAAGAAGACCCAAGACAAGGTGGCCTTCTTCTCTACGAGGCTAAAGTGGAGCAGCGCGGAGCCTTCCAACGTGAGGATGGCCACCTCCGGCTGAAATTGTGGCCCATCACCTGATCGTTCTGATCACAAGCAATTTCAAGCCGAAAGAGCCCTGAGGCTTTTCCGTCCCGAGGATTCGTGGAGAACCTTTCATCTCTACCAGGTCAAGTCACAGTGAGCATCAATGCCCTCTCCTGGCACGTAGCTGTTGATGAAGCACTGATTCGACACGCCTGTGCGGTAAGGAGGGCCATGGTCATCGCAGATGCAACAGCCAGAAGGGGGTCAGAAACATGGGATGAGCTCACCACCTGCTACAGGTAACCAAAAGAAACACCCTACCTCTGAACGTTTCCGAACCCTTGGAGCTCCTTCTGCGGCACCAGCCCGAACCAGATTGGCGGCAAGCTGAGCGACAGGGTCGGGAAGCTCCTCGCAGATGGCGCCATCTGGGTGAGGCACACCTGCAAAGACGCCCCTTACATGGGGGTTTCCCCAAATTATTTGTACCTTTTTGGGGGTCCCCATAATAAGGATTATAATATATTGGGGTCTATTTTGGGGTCCCCCTATTTTGGGAAACTACCACATGGACATCACGGACTGGCAATAAAAGCAAGAAGCATGATGTTTAATGAAAAGCGCCGAAAGCATAGCGATAGAAACGACCACGACTAGCAATAAACACCTTCGCCATAACGACAGCAATGCCAGTCAGAATGCAATGGGTGCTTCTAGGATGACTATAAGCGAGTCCAGAAAGCAGTATGGTCGAATATGGATGAAGGCTGCGATAAAAGCTGTAATAATCGATGCGAACCTCCAAGGCACATGAAACGCCGCCGTCTCAGTTGAGCCCATCTCCCCTGGCACACTTGACATGGGCCGTGCAAATTTGTGTTCAGAAGCTTCATTTCAAACAGGATCGAGTGTGTACAG